ACAGCAAAACATAAGTTGGGGTGTTGTGCTGACTGATTCCTCTGCTTTCCTATTGGTTGTAATTTGATGATGTTACCTCTTATTCCACCAATCACATTTAAGTAAGATATTACTAGAAGAATGCAATATGTACGACACCACTATTCATTGTTTTGGGGCACCGCCTCCCCTAGGAGGACCTATTGTGAGCCACAGGCCTTGGCAGGCGCCCCCGGTAGGGCCCTGGTGTTCGCTCCTCGTTGGGTCCAAGGGGGCGCCCATGGTAGGGGCATGAGGGCCACTTGTGGGGGGAATGACCCTGGTAGAGAGGGCCCCAGGGGCACCCCTGATAGGGCTCTGGGGTTCACCCCTGGTAGGGCTCCGGGGTCCGTCCCTGATAGAGCCCCGGGGGGCGCCCTTGGTGGGGCCCCAGGGTAGGACCTCGGGTGGTGCCCCTAATTGGACCCCGAGGGACGCCCCTAGGAGGGCCCCTGGGGTCATCACCGCCCTTGAGATGGCCCCTGGGGTAGTCACCACTTAAGAGAGGCGCTTGGGGACGCCGCCGCCCCTGGAGTCGTGGCCGCTTCTGGGATGGCCCCTGGGGTCGCGGCCGCCCCTGTGAGGACCTCTGGGGTCGCCCCTGCATCTGAGAGAGCCTCTGGGGTTTCCGCCGCCCTTGGGAAAGCCTTTACAGTAGTAACAGTAGTAAAAATAGTTACAGTAGTAACAATAGTTACAAGAGTAACTTTAGTTAAAGTAGTTACATTAGTTTCAGTAGTAACAATAGTTACAGTAATAACAATAGTTAGTAGTTACAGTAGTAACAGTAATTACATTAGCAACAATAGTTATAGTAGTAACAGTAGTTACAGTAGTAACAATTGTTACAGAAGTAATAATAGTTACAATAGTTACAGTAGTAACAGTAGTGACAATAGCTACAGCAGTAAATAGTTACAATAGTTACAGTAGTTACAAAGAAAATGGGAAATATTCACCACAGGATAAATGAAGAACTAAAGAATATATTCTTTCACATTTATTGCTTTTTACAAAACACTTTTGTTACAATATGGTACATAATGTACAAATATTTACATATTTTTAGAAGCAGTGATGATGGGATGGTTGAGTGATGGCGGTGAAACAAGAAAGGACGAGACTTGTTAGCGCACGCGCTCTTCTGGGTGGATGTGGGGCTGGTGAACCAGATGACAAAACTTCAAAATATTAAAAACAATGCTGATAATGACCAATGTTCCGTAAGATACCAAGGATATAAAATCCCCGTTATCTAAGGAGGACATCAGCCAGCAAAATATTCAAAAAAATCGTTCCTTCTATGTATTCCAAAATATCATAACAAACACAGATAAAAAAAATCACCTTCTTTGGTAGCGGGTTTGTGTTGGTACGGTGAAGAATTCATGTTGGTGTGACTAGCATAGTGAGAAAGCTCGTTTTTTCTTCTTTCAATCGACTTTAAATTTTCAAAATAACTCATGAACAATAACAAGAGACATTCTTCCTATACATCATCAAATTAAAAAAAATTACATGGTTGATTTTATTTTCATACATTGTAGTAATTCCCGTCTTGTTGGTCATTAAATGTGATGTAAATAACCTGCAACAAGAACACAATAAGTTTTTCGTTTAAGTTACACGCGAGTCTTTTCTTATAATAGAGCCTTCAAGTGTGGGTAGGAGAGCGAGAGACCGCAAGTTCAGTAGAAAATTTTATATTATTAGCCAAAGAATCTGCAACGGGGACGGGGGGTGTTCGGTGGGAATGGCGATCGAATGAGGAAGTTGACACATGATGGAACGAAGATCGGATAAATGGTTACAAAAGGAATACAGAATAAATAATGAAGAGTAGTTAGTGAATGAATAAGATCTGAAACAATGGGAAGCCCACAATAAAAATATTCAGAAAAATAAAATCAGATATGGAAAAAAGGTTAATGTACATGTCAACCTCGGCAACTCAAATGATAAACTAACACGAGGGTTTGAATTTTTTTTCTTTTGGTAAATGGAAATTTTGAGCTATGATGAAACTCGACTCTTGCGTTGATTGACTTTGAATATTGATTACTGTTAAGGGCGATATACAGTATATATATATATATATATATATATATATATATATATATATATATGCAAGTAAATCACTGTAGGTACGTTCTAGCAGTTAGACCACATCTTCGGGGTGAGTACAGACTCGAAGAATTATTAATGAAAGCGCTTTAGAACTTGTGTTTCTTCCTTGTGGGTTAGTCAGCATATATATATATATATATATATATATATATATATATATATATATATATATATATATATATATATAACTTGAAAAGATATAACTTCATAAACAGATCTAAGGAAACAAACAAACCAGTAGCAAAACGTGAAATAGCAAGAGACAGTAATTGTGGAAAATATTAGATGACTGGGTTAAGACTGAGAGAGAGTTACCCGTAAAGGCGGACAGATTTAGAAAGTATAAATATGAGAAAATTGAGCGAGTAACGCGCAGAAACGGAACAAAAGTCCAGGGAGGTTATTTTCAGCAACTGGAGATATTACACTACAAAAAGCTCTAACAATTATATGTAATATGGCTCCGGGGTTACCATACGGGTGGGGGGGGGGGGCACTAGCAGCGGCACGATACACCTACGCGACTATGGCACACAGGGCCATGGTAGCACACCCCGGCCTCGCTCACACGGCACTCTCTTGTCTCACCCTGCACCTCGCACACTCCAGTGACTGTAGTGAGTTTGGTTTATAACTCACTAGTGGCTTACATCACTGTAGCGGCCCAACACACTATCATAGTCGTGACCCCAAACACCATGATAGTCCAGGTCCAACACTACACACCATGATAGTCCTGGTCCAACACACCATGATAGTCCTGGTCCAACACACCATGATCGTCCTGGTCCAACACACCATGATCGTCCTGGTCCAACACACCATGATAGTCGTGACACCACACACCATGATAGTCCTGGTCCAACACACTATGATAGTCGTGACACCACACACCATGATAGTCCTGGTCCAACACTACACACCATGATAGTCCTGGTCCAACACTACACACCATGATAGTCCTGGTCCAACACACCAGTAGTCCAGGTCAACACTACACACACACACCATGATAGTCCTGGTACACACCATGATAAGTCGACACCACACATGATAGTCCTGGTCCAACACACCATGACAGTCCTGGTCAAACACACCATGATCGTCCTGGTCCAACACACCATGATAGTCCCGGTTCAACACACCATGATAGTCCTGGTCCAACACACCATGATAGTCCTGGTCCAACACACCATGATAGTCCTGGTCCAACACACCATGATAGTCCTGGTCCAACACACCATGATAGTCCTGGTTCAACACACCATGATAGTCCTGGTCCAACACACCATGATAGTCCTGGTTCAACACACCATGATAGTCCTGGTCCAGCACACCATGATAGTCGTAACACCACACACCATGATAGTCCTGGTCTAACACACCATGATTACTGTATCTTGACATTTGACAGTACAATGACATACCAAGCCACACAGGAGAGCGTTCCTTTAATACCCGGCGGTGAGGGGGGAGGGAAGGTGGAGGCTCAGTGTAGCCTCCATTCAGAATATAAAAACGCACAGAGATGCAACATTGAGAAACGTGATATGAACTCACAAAGATGTAATTAAGTACAGTATATATATATATATGTATTTATATATACGTTTCAAGGGGCCAGCGCGGCTTCCTTAGTATACAGGTAGAGCTAGGCAGGTTCCCGCCCTAAATGGTTTCGGTAACCAAAAGCCTTGTCGATAGAAAACATGGTATAAAAAACATGAATCATAGCTATTTTATACTATAATCCATCGTAAAGTTTGTCATTGTTTTAAGGTTGGGGTATATATATATATATATATATATATATATATATATATATATATATATATATATATATATATATATATATATATATATATATATATTTATGTATATAAACAAGAGGGAGTTTGTGAGGTTTCTTCAACACACACACTCATACACACAAAAGTTTTACACTATTCACATAATATGACTCGTCTGATGTCCGACATTGTTTGTGAGCCGAGGTTCTCGCCTTCCTAGATTTTTTTTTTTTTCACATATCGAAAAGGACAATTGTATAAACCTGTACATATTGTGGTTCCCTCATGGTGACGGAGGATCCCACACCACCAGACTCTTGTACACAGGGAGAAGTTCTCCTCAAATGCCATTTCCGCGTCCACCTCCCGAACGTCCTTATTTTTTCGAAGTTTTATTTTTTTTTCGTTTTTATTGAGGATTTTCAGCTGTTTTTAATTTCTTAATTTCAAATATTTATCATAGTGAAAATATTCGAAAAATGCTCAGCTTCTTGAGATGTTATCGGAAAGTTCTTTCTCACAACATAGTCAATAATTTTGATAAACTCTGTCGTACAAGCACAATACAAATATGTATAAATATGTATATACATAGGAATTTTAGTAATAGCAACAAAGCTTACCATAGTCTCCAAAAATAATATTGCAATCATTATCTTAATAGCTGTCAACACTTTAAATATTTTTCTTATTCACAGTATAAATACAATATTATGACATGATAATAAATCTTCTATTTTTAACAGACTTTTAGAAATACAAAAAATGCAGACATAAATAAAGATTAGGAATTTAGTTAATATAACTACTCGGAAATAATCTTTAAACGCCTTTACTTGGTTCCATCCAGCAAGGGTAACAAGACCTTGCACCTTGAGACTAACCAAGGCCACCAGGACTGGCCGTCTTCAGGGTGCTCCCTAAGATATCCGAACCTCAGTTCTATTCTTCATTCATAAGACACCAGTTTTGACCAGATCATCACGGACAATATCTTTTTGTTATGTGAATTTTTGTTTTGATCACTACTGTAAATTTCATCTGCTTCGGTAACCGGTTGCTGAATATGCCAGTTCTTCCCCTTCAAGTTTTCTCCTTAGCACTGTAATATTTGATGGATCGTCCACAAGCTATACTTTTTCCTCATCTCATCTTGCTTCCTCCTCCCTGAAGCAGCCGGTGCCGCTCGGGTCTTCTCTGGGGCTTCGGCACTGATGTCACCGGCTAAGTCAGGGGATTTCTTCCAATTACAACAAACTAGACAGCGCCACTCCAGGTCGACACGCAGGTGGGTCGCAACTGGGGGAGGAGCCTTAGGATTTAATCCCCTGGAGAAGCTCGGCAAGAGAAAAAGGATCTGCCTGGATTTCTTCCTGGAAAATGCTGGGTGAGTTTGGCGGGGTATCAAATTTACTTCCGATATATATATATATATATATATATATATATATATATATATATATATATATATATATATATATATATATATATATATATATATATATATATATATATATGAAACAGTCGGTTATTTATACAGTATTTTCTTTTGGATAATTATGACATGACTTTAGGACTCTTTTCTGTATCATGCGGACATTTCACTCTTTCATGTTAGGAAAACATTCTATGAGTTTTTATAAGAATGAGTACACAAGAAACATCGCACCAGCCTCATCACTGGTAATTCATAGAAAAACTTGGAAGTTGAAAGCGAAGGTACATCACAGTTAGCCATGAACATCGTCTTATGGGGAAAGTTTTCACACACACATACTCGTCAAGTCCTATGGGTTTCCGTGGTTCTGCAAAAAAACAAACAACAATTACAGTTATCAATTGTTGCAAGGAACCATCAGCATTTGTTCTTCGATTTGATGCAAGGAGTTAAAGCAGCACTTTCTTGTTTGTGTTGCAAAAAATAACGAGACGCCACTTTTCTGTGATGCTGCAAGAAAATGTCAGAAACGCCCGTCTGTAGTAATAATGTAGGAAGAGAGCAAAAATCAAGTCTTCTTAGCATTGCAGGAAACTTAGAGGAACACTAGTTCTTGGTGGCGCTACAAGAGAAAAAGAGCAACAACGTACTGTGGTGTAGTGCACCATGAGAGCACTAGATTTAACACATCTGTCAGCATCCTGCACCTTCAGGCCTCCAGCCAACTCACGCCTTCCATTATCGACTAACGAAGACAAATTGTTCCCTGCACGTGGTTCTCGTAGGAAAGTTGGCTATTGTATAATAAGGTCTGACTTGTCACGTTAATACAAAAGTGTTTACTTATAACAACCTCTCTTGTCTTCCCTCACACACTGGTTCACAACACACAGGGTCACACGCTATATCAGTACAACAATTCATACATAGATTATGCAAAAAAATGCATATTAAAGCCAATATTTCTTTTATATTCGCATAAAAGTACACATGCGTTACTGAAATGCAGTTTTTAAGGTCAGAAAAATTCTTTGGTTATTTCAAGCAAATTAGCGAATAACTACATATTCTCCCTGATGTCACGAATGCTTGATTTCTCTCATCTGGCCAGCGCACACAGAACCTGACTGTCTGTCCAGGACTCATTATCCAAGTGCCTCATAGCTGGAGTCTGGAGATACGCAAGCATCATAGGTCGCTTCCACACAGGTACTGCCGCGCTGCTCTGGAGCTCTGAGAAGAAGTAGCTTAGCAGGTTACCGCCCTCCCTATGGGTAGCGGGCCTGCTTACAGTCATACCAAATGTCCCTCGAGATCGGACTCGCTGAAGGAGGAAGGTGATGGGTTAGGATTGAATGTAGAGAGGCTCGTCGGCTGAACTCTGAGGTCCCCATTTCTGTTGGAGAAGTCTGTGACGGCAATGACGGGATGGTCTATGGTGATGGAGTGTGGATCTAACGTGAGGCTGGGGTGCTCTGAGGGGATAGAGTGTTGCTCCAGCCCAAGGGAAGGAGGAGGGTCGGAGTCCAGCCCCAGCGACTGCAGAGCGTGGGCGTGATCAATTCCCTCGATACTCATGTTTCCTATATCAGCCGGGTAGCCGTGGTCGTGAAGCCCTAGGGTGACGGAGGGACCACCGGCGTGGTACTGGGCAGCGCCGTTGGGTACACCAGTGGGGGAGGGCGTGTAGGAGAAGCTAAGGAAGCCACGAGTTTCTGGCGAGGTGCTGTAGTGCGTAGCACGGGAGGGCGGCCTTGGAGTCACTTTACCTGAAAGGGGAGAGAGAACAAAATGAGAAATAGAGCAGTCATTCACAATTTGTCCAAGAATGACATCAGCAGAATCTGAGCACCACAACACAGCAGGAGAAGAAAAATATGCTTGGTAAAATCTCATAATTAGAACATAAAGTATTCTGCAATTTTTGGGGGCTAGACATTATGACAACGAACGAAGGATTTTGACACTCCTAAGACAATAGGAGTCGCAGTGTTCATTTTGACATCCGTCGGACGCCACCTTGCATACTCGTATACTTTATGTAGCGAGTGTATGTCTGTCTGTGTGTGTGTGTGTGTGTGAGGGCTGTGATGTGGAGGGCGAGGGTGGGGGGTGGAGGGCGAGGGGTGGGGTGTGGGGGCGAGGGGTGGGGTGGAGGGTGAGGGTGGGGTGTGGAGGGGGAGGGGGGGTGAGGAGGGAGGGTGGGGAGAGTGAGGGTGGGGTGTGGGTGGGTGGAGGGTGAGGGTGGGGTGTGGAAGGTGAGGGTGGGGCGAGGAGGCGGGAGTGGGGTGTGGAGAGCGAGGGTGGGACGCAGAGGGAGAGGGTGGGGTTATGGAGGTTGAGGGCTGGGGTGTGGAGAGGAGGGGGGGGTGGAGGGTGAGGGTGGAGGGCGAGGGGTGGGTGGAGGGGAGGTGGGGTGGAGGGCGAGGGGTGGGTGGAGGGTGAGGGTGGGGTGGATGGCGAGGGTGGGGTGTGGAGGGCGAGGGTGGGGTGTGGAGGGCGAGGGTGGGGTGTGGAGACCGAGGGTGAGGTGTGGAGGGCGAGGGTGCGATACGGACCATGACAGGAACGAACCCAACTTAGATCCTCGAATATGATCCTGACTCTGAACCCTTGACTTGACCCCTAAACTCATCCACCTCACCTTCATAACACAACAGTTGGGCACTTGCTATTACCCAGAGAATTATACCACCTGAAGCCAAGTTACCTAATAATTATATATCTATCAGCTTGACTATTTATTTCCCTACAACTTACTCAACACCCACTTGTCCTTAACCAAAGTATTTGTGTGCAGATGAAGCTCAATGTATTAACCGTAACTCTTATTCTCTCAGCTGGTGGATATATTTTGCCTTCCTCACCTATAAAATATGTCTGTGAAGGTTAAAGGTGTTCTCTCCAAGTCAGAAATCACCTAACCAAATCTAACCAAACCAACCCCTACATCTATTACTTCTACCAAGGGTAATAATCACTAGCGTTACTTCCCTATTAAAAGCTAGGAAGGTCCTTTCATGCCGATTATAGATATTTACGCTTCTCCCTCTGCATATATTACACCCGAAACACCTTACCTGCTAATTATAAGCGCCCCCTCCCTCCCTATTCAAAGCCAGTCAAAATCCTATGCAATGATTACAAGGAATTTCATCTTACTACTTACCCAGTTGGTGATTGTAAGCGTTCCTACGTAGGACCTCGGCGTAATCGTCCTCCTGGGGATCGTAGGCGGCGCTGGAGGGCTGCGAGGGCGTCTGGCTAGCGTACTCAGGAGGCGGTTCAATCTGGTCGATGAGGTAGGTGGAGGCAGCGTGCTTGTGGGTCTGCTCCTGTACAAAGTGAGGAGACGAAGAACATGAGGGTTAGTGGATGTGAAAGATGTATACGGGAGGTGATGATATAGGAGAGGGAGGATGGTAGATGGCGATGGAATGTAGGAAGGAGGTAGAGAGATTAAAGGAAGAGGAAGAGAGGTTAAGGGAACAGGAGGTTGATATAAAGGAGAGACGGAAATGGTTAATGGGATGGAGATAGATGGAAGGGGGAGGATAAACGGGGTTAAGACACTGAAGACAAACGAAATGGGGAAGAGATGAAAGGGATAAGATGTTGAAGGAAGGGGAGAGAGAGAGAGATTGATGGGCTAAGAGACTAGAGATAGACAGAATAGGAAGGACATTAAGAGGTAAAAGAAGGGGAACAGACGGATAAGGAGAAAGACTGTGTAGAGATAGCGAGGGGGGAAGACGAGGGTCCTGAGGGTGCCTGTGGGTGCGTTATGGTGTAGAAAGGATGAACAGGGGAAGTCAAGGAACGTATAAAGGATTAGAAGAGAAATAAAGACTGGAAGAAGGTATAAGGAGACAAGGAATTGGCGACAGAGAGAAATAGAGGAGGAAAAAATAGATAAGAGTGACTGGAGTGGGGTAGGGGAGACGAGAGATACCCAAATAATAGACGGATAGTTGAAACAAGGTGGAGGAAGTGCAGGTAGAGGGTTACTGTGTCAGGAAAATAATTAAGACACAGGTAAGAAAATGCAACACCTGCTCTTAAGAATGAGAGGATGGCAAGGGGGAAAGGTAGATAATGAGAGCACACTGGATATATAATGCATAGTCTAAGATCACACAAATACCATATAACTCAAAATAATACAAAATATAAAGTATTAACAAATAAAATTATCTACGTGAAAACGGAAGTCACTCAATTGTCTTATTAATTCACCAAACGACTATTTAAGGGTCACGGTATCCATAAAAGTTAAAAAACCAAGGAGTTATATTTGTAATTAGTTTTAAAGTCAACAAAACCATATGAACGGGGTCAAATAAGGTTTTATTTAGTATTAGGATCAAACTGGGAAGCTATTCTCCCAACACGCGGCAAAAAAATAGAAGCGGAAAGGCGATCGGGTTACGTCGACAAACAAAACTTTCCACACTTCAAGGGGTTACGAATCCGCAAAAGGGATGAGTATACTCGAGGGGGGAGGGGGGGAAGGTTAAGCAAATTCAGATGTAAAGCAGTAAAAAAAAACTGATATATAGATAAGAGTACGGTGGAGAGTGTGTGTGTGTGTGTGTGTGTGTGTGTGTGTGTGTGTGTGTGGTCGTGGTTTGTTGCTGACATTAGTGTGTGTGCGTGAAGCAGATTGGGTAGGCAGGCAGCTGAGGGCAAGGGAAGTGGGCGTCATTAGTAGATTAGTGGCTCATATTGGTGATCAGCAAATCCTCTTCATTCGTTTACCAATCCATTATTTTTTCTTTGAGGGGTGAGGGGGATGTGGCATTATTGCATCCTACGATATATTATTTGATTCGTAATTTACATATTTTTTTTACAAGTCTCTTATTCATTTTCATTGTAGCATATTTTTTTTACTGCCTTAAGTCCCCATTTGGTTATCAAAGTCATTATTCTATTCGCTTTGTTTCCCTATTCTATTTATATATCTTTCCCATATTTCCTCACCTAATTTTATACCCAATGCTATATTAATTTTGTTTCTTCTCTCATTTGTCTTATTTCGTTCAAAGTATAATTTGCCTCAACCTAAAACTGCTCGAATCACATCTCCATAAACGTTAAATCAAAGTTCGAATCCCATTTTAACCCTCCTTCATATTTCACCCTACATGAGTCCATCATTCGCATCATATCTCACTTCCAATATTAACTTACACTTCATGGACCATTTAAACACGAGTATCAAGATGGTCTACTGGGACTATTCTCCTTCACACTTAACTAGCAGCATCGTTACCGTACATCAAGGGGGGAATATTATCTGTGGCACGTGATGGCTTATACGTATATCCCTTCTATGACATCATTAAGGGGAATACTCTCGAGAATACTCTGTTAGTGAGTAATAAATCAGCCATGAATAAGATGTTTGTAAGACTCCATAAAGTACATCATATTGTTGCTACATTACATTCTAAACAACGCTTTTTTCATCATTAGTTTTGTATTGCAATATTATCTCTTTCTCGCTACCAATTTCATACCATCTGTTCTCTTCAACAGTCTCCTTACTGACCATTCCCATTCCACCCCTCTTCCTCCTCCTCCTCCATCATCAATTAGACCTTCCGAACTCTCTCCCACTCCCTCACCATCCCGTCTCCCTCCTCTCCCCCAGCATCCCGTCTCCCTCCTCTCCCTCACCATCCCCGTTTCCCTCCCCTCCCCCATCCCCCCACACTTTGGAGGTAGAATGAATGAGGTTGAACTGTACCACAAGAGCAACGGCAGCCAGGGTCGTCGGTCACCACTTACACAGCCATAGAGAAGATCATATTGGTCATACAGAAGGACCTGACCAGGGACAAAGTAACCTGAGTGCACGTGACACGGAGATAAGTGACCCGGGGGAGCACTGGGGTATTGCGACGTATTCTGAAGGAGAAGATGAAGGTCAGGCGGAGTCTTGAATGTCGAGGAAAGTTAATTAATGATATTTTCTTCCTGAAGTAAAAGATGATAAAGCAGATTTGAAGAGGAAGAAAACTCTTATATTTTAGTGTATATCCTGCAGGGAAAAAAGGTCATAGAAAAGTCTTAAGATAGATAAATAATAGTAAAATGGTAGAAATTTATCATCCAAATTATGGTTCATCCAGTTCGCTACTCTTATGTTTAACAACCCTGGCAAAAAAAATATGGAGATCTGGAGGCTGGAACACACGTCTATTTAGTCTTAGAGGTACAGAAATATGTTATCTAATTATTTCCTTAAGAAGAAAAAGGTAAAAATAAGAAAGACCTTAACTCATCTATGGTGAGGATACTGTGTGGTGACAAGACTCTTCTGACATGATGAAACTAAACCATTACAGTTAAAGAAGATTATCTGTTTGATGCAAGAATAAAAGACGTCTTGGTTTATGACGAATACTGAAATTAAATCATAGTGTTTACAAAAAAATAAATAGTATGTGGGGCATCAGATCATGTTGGTACAAGTAGTTAAAAGACTTAATGTAATAGTATTCTGATTTACTTTACTTGAGGATATGAAATTTAATGTTATGAAAATATAAAAGCAATTTAAAGAAAAATCTGTCTAATCATATTGAGATACGTAAAACTGTCTCTGTTCGTGTGTCAGTCCTTGTTACAGTTACAGTGTTTACATCAATAAACACAATCATGCACTTTCTGTCTTGCTCATTTATTGAATCCTGAGAGATATAAACAAACCCGTGTGACGTCATTAATAGCAGCGAGCCAAGACGCAATACCTGGGGTCTGTATTTTATAAGTGACGTCAATTTATCGTCCTAGTTCTTCTTGTGTGTGGGGGTGCGAAACTACACCAGGAGCTTTTAAATCGCAATAATCAGAGTTGGTGAAAGTTGTAATGAAGGAACAGGAAACTTTGTAACAGATTCTTAGGGAGACACTTCATTCCAACTTACTGTGACAGATATCAGTTACCTATTGCTGTGTGTTACGTTACTCGTGAGGGCTGTGTTAATTGTTATGTACTGCGCTTATGGATTTGATATAACACCACCATCGCTGTAGAGGTTAGGCATTAATTTAGTTACGGGTACAGTACGTCTGTTTACAAGAATATTACTTAATTTAATGATAAGATGGGTCAGGTGTTGCTCATAGGGGAGGAGTAGATAGGGTTATACAGCATAAAAAATAGAGTAGAGAGATGCACTAAGTAACGTATCTATCGGTCTGAAGCTTAAGAATAACGTATTAAAAAGATATAAAAGGAACTCTTGATATGTAAACGAAGAGAAAATACCACCACTTCACTCCAACAGACAGATACCGTTTATATAACACATAAGTAGTTGGGGTACTAGAGGGGGGAGTCCTCGCCGTGTCTCGAGAGTATTGGCGGCGCTGCCCAACACGCTGAGGAGTTACACGCTCGTAAAATATTTTCTTTCATGAGTTTAATCCAATATAAGACTTCTCTTGGTGAGGATATTTGATGCTCCGACACTCACACGGGGAGTTTATGTCAGCCACACAAAATTCTCATATCGGTAACTGTGGATTTACCAGGATTTTCAGATTTAGACGGCCTGATTTTTTTTTTTTTTAGTTTTTCTCTCGCCTAAGTATTGTTTATCCAGATGGAGAGGTTGTTTACGTCAATTATATATATATATATATATATATATACAATTTACTCTTCCTTTCTACTTAATATTTACCTACGTTCTCTAGTGTAGAAATCTCTCTACTTGAGTTACATTTATTTATTTTTTATTTCCTGGTTATCTTCAGAACAATGCGGGTAAATTGAATTTCTTCTTAGTGTACAATATTGTAATAACTTCTTGTACGTCAGCTATCCCACCCAACACAGGAGGTCTGAACATTGTCTATTTACTACACAACGACGAGACGATCCTGTAAATATAGGTAAACAATCCGCAAAATATCAAACAATTTTTCTAATATTCTGGATTATATAGTTTTTATTTAATAATTCTAAGACATATAAGCCAATAGTATCATTCGTTGTTGACAAGTTTGTTGCAGTCACACATGACCTCAATGTCTTCTGTGTTGTGTTGTGAGGAAAACAATATACGAGTGTCAGTTGCAAACAGTAATGACTCCCTGACACTCTGAGACGCCTACAGGAAGGGCCTCGCTGGAGCTTCAAGAGGTCTTCTGGAGGAGCCTCAAGGAACAACTTAAAAGCAAACCTAACCTAACCTAACCTAACCTAACCTAACCTAACCTAACATAACATAACCTAATCTCAATTCTAGTAGTTAAATTAAGCTTAATTAGGTTGAAGCCAATATGAGACGTTCAGCCGACCATAATATCGTATTTGAAAGTAATTTTTTTTTCCAATAATTCTTAAAACAGGAACAGTTCTCACTTGTTAATCGTAAGACCCACGTACCTACAACCCCCCCACACACACTAGTCACTTACCTGGTGATAAAATTCACTTCATCACATAACATTTCTTTGTCAACATGGATGGCGGTATTTTTTCCTATGCTATCTAACATTTACAGGTACTTATTAAGGGACATTCGCTCTTCTACAGGTGGGATACTATCTTACCTGTGACAAGGAGAAAGAGATCAAAGGAAGGGAGTGAGGGAGGGAAAAGGTAGGGAAGAAAATGTGAGATAGGTTACCTGGGAGACACACCTGGGCCGGAAAATTAAAGACCAAGAGAATTAAATAAATTAGTGTCTAAGAAATAAACTGGCGGAATGGTGGTGGTGGAGAGTGTGTGCGTGTGTGTGTGTGTGTGTGTGTGTGTGTGTGTGTGTGTGTGTGTGTGTGTGTGTGTGTGTGTGTGTGTTGGTTTATTACTCATGGTGTTCCGTTTGTGTTCCTGGTGTGTGTGAGAGTCAGTGTGTAGTCCTGTGTATGGAAGATGGTGGTGGTAGTGGTTTTAAGGGTAGTGAAACCTTTAACATTGGCAATAATTGATTGTAATGATGATGGGGCCGTTAGTGACGTATTGGCACTCATAGTAATAGTGCCACTGGTAGGAGGAGAGGCACTAAGTAACCTCAGTAACTTCAGGAGACAGTGCCAGCAGCAGGAGGTTCACTCGGGGGCCGTGAAAAATTGACAGCGTCAGCGTTGGCACTGCAGCTCAACGATAAATCAGGGTGCCGTCCCCACTCCTGTGCCAAGTGTATAAGACCCGAGGCCCTCTCCTGGATGATGTACTGTATCTCTTTTACCCTCAGTCTACTTTATCATACTTTAATACTCATCATCATACTTCACCCTAGCTTATTAGGGATTATATATGTCATTGTACCTTAAGTGAGATCATTAGACCCTAATATACCTTAATGGTGATTAATTTAATAATATGACAGTGTTTCTTTATATAGGTTAGTCATTATTTGAGAGCATTACACTCAGGGTATCATTCACTGTACCCTAAGAGATAATTATACTTATTGATATCTTAAGAGTTTATTATACTCGGTTGTATCTTGCATAATACCAAACGTACCTTTACACTAATGATCATAAGTTACTCTCCTTCACTCGGTTATTGTAGGCTCAGGAGACTATAGAGATCTAAAGATAGGAAACGACCCTTCCTTCCCCCAGGTATCGGAACCACCATCAACCGTAATGAAGACGAATCACTTCTCCCCTCCCCCCTCCCCTCTTCCTCGACTCTGAGACCACGAGTCTTTGATAACTGCTGATAAGAGATACCTAAGACAGTCAGTAACAAGATGAGGAACTGACAACTGCCAGTAAATACGTTCTTAAGGAGTTAGAGGAGAAAATATACAGTCGGGTTCTGTCGAGTGTCAAGAGATAAAATGGAATAATGGGAAGTCGTCGTGTGGTAGAGGATCCCGTGTTGGGTAAGACTACTGTGCCGTGTCTACCATATAGTGAGCAGATGGCATAGGTACAATGTTTCATAGGTTAGATTTGACCGAAACTATAGGTCTCGTAGTTCGCGTATCCTGTTTTGATCTTGTCCTGAACAATTTGGAGCCACTTTAAAAACGTCAGTGATTTACTACGAATAGGATATGAAATAGAAATGCATATATCAACCTCATGTTCATTGTCGATCGTCAAAATCACACAGTAAGTCATTGAACAAGTCTTAATGCTTCGAAGTGCAACTAAACCTCGAGTTGTGTGTTAGACGGAATGAATTAATAGATAGATTCGCTTGTATCGTTATTTCTTCCTGCATTAATAACATTGTGTTCTCGAGACAACAACACGAATTATGCATAGGGTGTACCTCTCTCAAATATTACAGAAACTTCCACGCAGTATTCACCACAATCGTGCAACAATCAACACAGCGAGGTTATACTGACTGACTCTGGTAGCAGACACAACCACACTTTTATATATATATATTTTTTACGTCTTTTATTCACATGATGCTTTTATAGTTAGGACGAAAAATAAATAAAACTCCCTCCATATCAAAAAGACTTGATTACAAAAAAATAATAATACTTTTAAACTTATTTAAAAACGGTAGAACTGTTGAAACAATTCCACACACAATACAAACGTGTATAAAACATTGTAGCGACTGGGTCTAAAGTGAACAGCTTCTCTCTAATATTAAAATCACAGCGCGAGATTTCTTTTAAATAGTTAGGCAATTTGACATCACTGTGGTGAGTCCTTCTAGAGTGGATCAAGATGTTAGGAAGAAGAAAAATACCCAAGGGAGTGTGACGTGATCAACCCGGACTCAACCCGGACTCAACAACGGACTCAACCACGGACTCAACCACGGACTCAACCACGGACTCAACAACCTAAAACATCAACTCCAAAAGGGTCAAACATCGTCAATAGGATAAATACACCTTAATAGACCAACTAAAGTAAATCCCTCACCCAAGAAAGTGTTATGTGTACTTGCCTCATAGTCTACCACGGAGTCCTCTTGTGCGTAGGACTCTCGACTCTTCTCGGAGATGGAGGAGAGGGTCTCGCCCACCACGGTGTCGTTGTAGGAGGAAGGGGCGTACATGGTGTTGGTGGTGCTCTTACTGCTGGCCTGGTCGCTGCCCTCTGTTACGAGAACAACAAGAAATGGTGTGGTCATTACTTGCACTATATAACATGGGGACGTCTTTTACGGCATCTCGGAATTGGGAACTTGGTAGTGAATCGAGAAATTAAATAATAAAAAAAAATATATGTAATATTTATATACACATAACAGAAAATATAATCAGTGTTTACAACAACTAACATAAAACAAACAAAATAATGACAGAATCAAAACAAAAGAAACTACAAACTGAGAGACAAGTAAAAAAAAAAGAGAAATGCAATAATCAAAGGCAAATTCTCATCCTTGTATAAGAGATGTTTAACTCCTTGCCAGTAATAATTGAAGTTTTGATTAAATTCTTCTACTTAGACACATAACTGCAAGACAAGTCGAGGTTCTGAGTCCAACACTACAATGAGGGACAACAATTTGAGAACCAACACATCGTCAACCGGGATGAGGAAGAGCCTAGAAACACAAGCTTTAATTAAGAGGAGTAAAATGAAGGAAAATGAAAGCAAGATTAGTCCTTCGAGAGACACTTAGTCGGCTGGAACCCTTCGTTAATGTCAATGAGTCGGAATGATGTGGAAGGAGGAAGGGAGGTGAGGTGCTGAGGTAGGAGAACGACAAGGGGTTATGTGCTGCCGGAGAACTTGGGCAAGACTTGTGTGAGGAAGGCGCTGAAGGGGGATAGTTTGAGGAGCTCGTATATCTTAAAGAGGAAGGGCGTAGTCCAAGGGCTGTACTGACGTTGAATGATGAATAAGGGAGCTGTACTGAAGGTGGGAGGATGATGGGTAAGGGAGCTGTACTGAAGGTGGGAGGATGATGGGTAAGGGAGCTGTACTGAAGGTGGGAGGATGATGGGTAAGGGAGCTGGGGTAAGCGTCGAGCCTTTGGTTGTCTAAGGAGAGAACTTCGATGTGGTTGTGATTATTGGAAGGTTGTAGGAGATGAAAGAAGAATTGGAAATACTCAACATGAAGAGGAGAAGTAAGATGAGGAGGACTGATTGATGAGGGCGATTCGAAGGAGAGGTCATGTGAGTAAGAGGTAGAGATTTGTGTCAAAGGTCAAGACGTGTGTGTTGAGGGAGGAGAGGTGGTGTCAGAGGATATGGTTGATGGTTTATATATTCAACAGGAGCTGGAATAGGAGTCACATGTGTTGAAGGGGATCCTACCGTCTTCTCGTCTCTTGCCCCTTTTTCTACGTATGAGGCAGATCACGAGAGCAATGTTGAGGATGACAATCATGGTGCCAACTATGGCTACCACGATGATGATCAACTTGGGCAGGTCTCCCCGTCCGCCTAACACTTGGTTCAACAGCAGTTCGCGGTCACCTAGGAGAGGCTGGCCTGAAAAACAATCAAGAAAAACGAATGTCTAACACCAGAAAACAACGGGGTGAGATTATGGGAGGTGTAACTTACCCTGTGTGGGCGTGAGCGGCAGAGCCTTCGCCATGGCAGACGCTGATATGGAAGGTGGAGGCGTCTTCTTAGTGGGCGGGGAGGCTCTCTTGTTCCGTCGTCGTCTAACTATACAGACAATGGCAGAGACGTTGAGAGCAAGCAATGCAGTGGCAACGAGCACTATGATGACGACCCAAAGGCCGGGGAGCTTGGAGGCCTCCTTGCCCACATTGGAGGATGGGACGGGCGTGGGAGGGGCCTCGCCTGGAGGGAGAGGGAGAGAAAGCCAGGGTCACACCGGGAGCATGCATAGACCTTGCACATAGCTTTTGGTTACCCCTCCTGTACGTATGTCTATGGTAGCCTTTTCCTAGACACTATCCTGATAATTTATCCTTATTCTACAACATTCCTTTCCCCATTAGGAGTGACTGAGCCCAAATTTAGATACATTAAGATCTTTTATTCCGTCGTCCTGATATAATATTTGTTTACCGTGATATAAATTCGTTCAGCTTCGTTTATTCATTGTATACAAAGTTTAGTTTTAACCGCGAGAATCATTTCGAGTATTACCCAACCACGCGAGCCCCTACAAGGTCACACATGTGAATCCGGGGCAACCTCTTAACTATCCCCGTCTCACTATCCACTCCCAGTACCACCACCCAGTCCCAGTACCACCACACAGTCCCAGTCTCACCACCCAGTCCCAGTCTCACCACCCAGTCCCAGTTTCACCACACAGTCCCAAAACCACCATCCAGTCCCAGTACCACCACCCAGTCCCAGTACCACCACACAGTCCCAGTCTCACCACCCAGTCCCAGTCTCACCACCCAGTCCCAGTTTCACCACACAGTCCCAAAACCACCATCCAGTCCCAGTACCACCACCCAGTCCCAGTACCACCACACAGTCCCAGTCACAGTCCCAGTCTCACCACCCAGTCCCAGTCTCACCACCCCAGTCCCAGTCTCACACAGTCCCAGTACCAGTCCCCACAGTCCCAGTACCACCACCAGTACCACCACACAGTCCCAGTACCACCAGTCCCAGTCTCCCACCCAGTCCCAGTACCGCCACCCAGTCTCAGTACACACAGTCCAGTACCACACAGTCCCAGTACCACCACACTGTCCCAGTCTCACCCAGTCCCAAGTACCACCACACAGTCCCAGTACCCCACAGTACCACCACCAGTACCACACAGTCCCAGTCTCAACCACCCAGTACCACCACCCAGTCCAGTACCACCACCCAGTCCTGTACCACCCAAATTAAATCAACTTGGTAATCCGCTTGCCTTGGGACCACCTCCTACACGGGGACTTAAAATTCTCCGTGAACATTTTTTTTTAACTTTAGGTCGATACTTAGATGGTGTTTACGAGTTGTACCTCAAGGGTTTAGCTTTGATGAAGGACTCTACATTTCGGGCTGAGTTGCGCGCTTGTGTGGTGAGTAGGTGGTTAGCTAGAGGAGAGGGGTGGTTGGTTGGAGAGGGCGGGGTGGTTGGTTGGAGAGGGGGGAGGTGGGGGGGGTAGTGGTGAGGAGGGGGGGTAGTTGGTGAGGAGGGGGAGGGTAGTTGGTGAGGAGGGGGTATGTGGTGGGTAGATGGTGATTGGTTGGGATGGGCAAAATGAGTTTAAATCTATAATCCTGTGTCCTCACGTCTGGTCAACGGGACACACTTACAAGCATCTATCTGCTCCCAGTCACGGTACAACGTTTTAACCCCACCAACCTAACAGTGAAGCATTTAACGTAATCTACAATGAAATCAACAACAGTTCTAAGAGTACAGCAAATGACTAAATGCCTTTGAGCGTAAGTAATGGACTTAAGCTCTACCTCACTACAGGGCGACGCGCTTTCCCTCATTACCTGCAGTAGTTGTGAGGTGTATTTTAGTTTGGGTTGGGATACGCTGGGAAGGTCCTCTGTTTATGGCTGTTATCTTGCGCCTCCTCCTGAGTATTTAGAAACCATTTAACGGGAGTTGTAAATGAACCGATTCTTTTTTTATACCCAGATGTACCTCATGAAACTGTGACGTATATCTTACTACTGATATCGTCTACTTGAATATTAAATGGTATCTTCGCCTGGGAGAAACAGAGTCACTGATATCTGCTCCTTGTGTAAAAATGAACTGATATCCTTAGTTGAATAAAAAAGGACTGGTATTTTCGTCTAAATAAACATTACCAGAGCAAAAAATAGCCAAACAACTTCGCCTGAATAACAAAATATTACACACTGAACTGAACAATATATAAGAACAAATTCAAATCTGTACCATCGACTGAACAGCAGCTACTTGAAAAACCAACTGATATCTTAAATAAAAACAGTAGGATATTTTCTCTTGAACAAAAAAAAAACAAAAAACATGACATATCAAACCAAAAAAAAGTTGATATTTTCTCTTGATTAAAAATAAGCCGATATTTTCCCCCGGACGACCTGGTAATATTCCCTCAAAATATCCTAAAATTATCCCCTCGTCGTCGTCACCTTCCTCTCCACCCCTGCATCATATCACTTGTGTCTCCTCCACCTCCCTCTTATCTTCTCCTTACCTCACCTCCAACTTCTTATTCGCCTCTTCCTCACTCTCACTACCTCCCTCTCCCCTGCTCCTTATCCTCTTCCTCTCCCCCCTCCTCATCCTTATCCTCTACCCCCCCCTCACAGCACAGCTCCGTCGGTGGAGGTATGCTAACGAAATACTCTGAAGGAAATGTCACGAGTATTACCCACAGAACACAAGTATCGGCTTACATCTTCCTCATCCTCCTGACGTTTATTGTGACGACATCCAGCAGGAGGTGTGTGTGTGTGTGTGTGTTATACCCCGTCAGATATGCGACAGAAGCGTGAGAATGTAAACGGTGGAGATAACAGCATAACGAGTCTATTGCAACCTGGACTAAATATATTGTAAACAAAAACACTATGAGAAATCTTTGTGTTATCAAGATGAACTCATAAGACTTTTCACCATACAATATTGAATCATACTTTAGGTTAAATTCATCGAGGAATGATTTAATAGTACTTGAAAAATTGACATACTAAAATGGATATTGTGATACAAATTTATTACAGTATATTGAGTCACATAACGCTAGGAGTTGGCTCGTAACACAGGTGTACTGACGTTAACAATGTAATTAGAACCTGGGTTTCAGAGTCCACCTTTCGATATACCTGGTATGATTACAGTGATTATGCTTTGGGAGTTTTAACAGCTCTCATACCTATACTGATTATATCGGAAACGAGACGATTAACACTCAAACTATCTTATCAACCTTTCATTATGTGTCATGGTTCGGTAAACACATATCATAAATCGTCTTTATTTTGCCAACAATTCTCCTTATAAGATAATGATAAAAAACATAAAGTATCATAACTATAAGTGACATGACAAGATGAGACACACCCGTGGGTTGAGCATCTAAGACCTGCCAAATACTGTATCGTAACCTATACTCAAAAGATATTCGATCCTCTGGCTTATGTCTCTACTACCCACCAGAGCCAATTGTCTATAAATGGAGAATTTTAACCAATAATTTATGTTTAAAATTGAGACTATAATTTGAAGTATTAAAGGTGGTGGAGGGGATATTGACAGGCGGCGGGGGGGGGGGATAGTACAGGAGGGGCGGTAAAGGAGGGGCGGTGAGCGGTACGGGAGGGGCGGTGGTACAGGAGGGGAGGCGGTACAGGAGGCTACGTGGGGTTCTTTGGGTAAGCTACCAACTAGACGAGCGAGGCATAAGGTGATGTACTGCCCTGAGCCAAGATCCTGGCTGGGTATACGCTTCCAGCCAGGACTCATAGCCAGAGAATATTCCTTGCCACACAACTCTTATTTTTTCATCTAATCAACTTTCTTGGCCAGATAAATAATATGGCATACAGTAGATACTCTCATGGTTAACAACCCCACCTTGGTCAGAAATGTTTATCCTGAACAAAAGCTTTTGGCCAGAACAAAATCCAGCAGCTTCATAACAAAACAACATTCTCTCACTCTCGTTTAGCAGGGCTCACAGCTTGTGCCAGTCACCTCCGCCACGAAACAAATCAGCGCTATTTGTCCCTGCCAAAATTAAAGCCTCATCCGACCCAGCCAAGGACAGACGGATGCATTCCCAGCGACACACGTCAGGGGAGGGTGAGGGGAGGGGGGCGATATCTCTCAATAAATTCAAATACTGTTGAGAATTTATTACCTCCCAGGGGCGTAGCGTAGTCGCTATATATCCTTATAATTTCTCAAATAACAAAAGCATTTCCCTGGCACAAGGAGATTTGGGGGGCTCGTTTTCAATACAGTTTTATGGCTGGGTGATCGATACCCACGGGGGAAATGTAAGGTGGTGGGGAAGGAAGGAAGGAAGGAAGGAAGGAAGGAAGGAAGGAAGGAAGGAAGGAAGGAAGGAAGGAGGTTTGTTCTTAAGACGCAGCAGCTGGTAGAGTAATGCTGCTCCTACACTTATATCGAAGATTTTACAAAACATTTTTCTGAAGGATGCATTAAAATCAACGTCAAAATGCCCGAGAAACATTGAAGAGGGGATTAGGGACGACAATTAATAGCTATGAGTGTGTGTGTGGGTGTGTTTGTGTGTGTGTGGGTGTGTGTGTGTGTGGGTGTGTGTGTGTGTGTGGGTGTGTGTGTGTGTGTGGGTGTGTGTGTGAATGAAGGTATGTGTGGCTGAAAGTATGTGGATGTAGACGTTTGGTTATGCATGCGCGTGTCGTCGGCTTTAAGATGGAGCGAACGAGAATGTGTTACAATTGTATTATATAAACACAAGTGGAAGAGGTTAAACCCGGAGAGAGACCGAAGGAAGACAAAGATTATGCGTTATACGGGACTTGTAGATATAATAGGGTGATATACGGGACTTGTAGATATAATAGGATGATATACGGGACTTGTAGATATAATAGGATGATATACGGGACTTGTAGATATAATAGGATGATATACGGGACTTGTAGTTATAATAGGGTGATATACGGGACTTGTAGTTGTAATAGGATGATATACGGGACTTGTAGTTATAATAGGGTGATATACGGGACTTGTAGTTGTAATAGGATGATATACGGGACTTGTAGTTGTAATAGGGTGATATACGGAACTTGTAGTTGTATTAGGATGTTATACGGGACTTGTAGTTGTATTAGGATGTTATACGGGACTTGTAGTTGTAATAGGGTGATATACGGAACTT